ACTTTATTTTTACAACTTGTCATAAACACATTCCTCATCCTCACTTTCTCACCCCTGATCGTGGCATTTTCACTATTCTCTGTTTATCATGATATCTCTAGGAGAGCAGACACCACCTTTCCCAAACACCTTTCAACTCTATTTTCTGCATTCCCAAGGAGAATTCTTAGAACCTGCTCAAGTTTTGGGGATCCTTGTCAAATGAATCTCAATATGTACTCTCTTTAAAATGTTACCCCAGTGCTCCCAATTCCACTTTAGTTTTATTTCACAGTACTTATCTGACATACATTTTAAAATTTAACTACCTGTACCTTTAAACTAGAATGTATACTCCTTGAGGACAAGAATCTTTTTCTTTGTTTTTCTTTGTGTCTTCAGTGTTTAGAATAGTAGATATTGTTGAACGAATAGCTATGGGCACAAAAATGGAGGCATAACATATATACTATTTTCATAAACTGAGTCTTATGCTTATAATTTTCATGACAATACATATTCCTTTACAACACCATTTTAAATGATCACACATATTATTGTGTATGGTTGTACTGCCTTTTTAGAAATAAGTGATGCTCAATGGCCCCCACCCCACCAGTTTTTGCTCCCTACAGTGCTGCAGCAAACATCCTTGTAAAACTCTAAAGGTAGAAGGCAGAATATGCATAATTCGAAGGTTTATCATATGCATTGCCAAATTTTTGTAGAAAATGAATATGTACTTCCACCAGAAGTGGGATCCTAATTTTAAATAGGGTAGTCAGACAAGACTCCACTAAGAAAATATTTAAACAAAGATTTTAGGAAGTGAGGCAGGTAGCCATGCAGGAATCTGGGGAAAGTGTAAAAGTTTGAGGTAAGAAAGTGTCTAATGTGTTCAAGGAGGAGCGAGGAGTCCACTGTGGCTGGAGTAGAGGGTATAGTGGGCCTATCCATGGTCAAAGGGGCCATGGAGCCCATGATTTTAGGGACTTTATAGACCATTGTTCAAATTTTATCTTCTGAGTGAGATGGGGAACCATTGGAGGGTTTTTAGCAGAGGCAAGTGACAAAACTTGACTTAGGTTTTAAAAGACCACTTTGGTAGTTGTACTGAGAATAGGTTAAATTTAGTAAGGCAAAAGTAGAAGAATAAAATGGGTTGGGGGATATTGCACTGCTCCAGGTTTACCAGGGTGGTTGTAGTGGAGACAGTGGAGACAGGGAGATGTGATAAGATTGTTGAAATGTTTTGAAGATAGACCTGGCAGGATTTACCTATAGATTAGATATAAGATATGAGAGAAGAGAGGAATCAAAAGTGACTCCAAAATTTTTGGCCTGAGTAAATTGCAGGGTCATCAGCTTGTCATCAGTTCATATGGGGAAGATCGTGGGTGAGGCTGGTTGACTTGTGGGTAAGACTTGGGAGTTCAGTTTTGAACATGTTAAGTTTGAGATATATATTAGATATCAAAGTAGACTATATGAGTAAAATACATGAGACTGGACATCAAGGGAAAAGTCCAAACTGGAGATATATATTTGGGAACTGTTAGATTATATATCATATTTAAAATCTTAAGACTAGCATAGATCACTAAGGAAGTGGATGATATGGATAAGAGAAGAGGGCCAGGACTAAAACTTGGGGAACTCTGATGTTAAGAGGTTGGAGAAATGTGGTGGAATCAATAGAGGAGACTGAAAGAAGTAGCCAGCGAGATAGATGGAAAAAAGATGACGTCCTGGAGGCCAAGTAAAAGAAAATGTTTCCAGGAAGAGGGAATGACTAACATTTTCAATTGATGCTGATAATGTCAAGTAAAATGAGAGCTGAGAATTGACCTGTGGATTTAGAAATATACAAGTCATTGGTGACTTTAGAAAGAGTAGTTTTAGAGGGAGTGCTGTGCAAAAGCCAGATTTGAGTTGGATCAAGAGACTGGGATGGAGAGGAATTGGTGAAAATAGACAACCTTTTCAAGAAGTTTGCTATAAATTGTAGGAGAGAATAGCAGCTGCGGCAGGGGACATGGGATCTAAATACAATTTTTTTTTTGCGGTACGCGGGCCTCTCACTGTTGTGGCCTCTCCCATTGCGGAGCACAGGCTCTGGATGCGCAGGCTCAGTGGCCATGGCTCACGGGCCCAGCCGCTCCGCGGCATGTGGGATCTTCCCGGGCCGGGGCACGAACTCGTGTCCCCTGCATCGGCAGGCGGACTCTCAACCACTGCGCCACCAGGGAAGCCCCTAGATACAATTTTTTAAAGGGAGATATAACAACATGGTTCTGTGTTGATGGGACTGATGGGAGGGGGGAGAGAGAGAGAGAGAGAGAGAGAAAGAGACAGAGATAGAGACAGAGAGACTGAGAGACCGAGAGACCAAAAGAGAAATAGTACCAGGGTGATTTTCTTGACTAGAAGAGAGGGGATGGGATTTGGTGAATAAGTGGAGCCTGCGCTTTAGATACAAGCTGTTAAAATCTGCACAGAATCATCAGGAAAGCCTATGTCAAGAGCAGAGTCATTTATTAATAATCGTTCCAGCTAGGGAAAACTTTATTAAGAACAGAACATCAGTGATGTCCACAGAAGGGGAGTTACAGAAGGTTTTTTAAGGGCTAGCTCTTATGATTATAAATTGGGTGATCTTTACTGGGTGAGCTTTTGGAAATGGGCAGTGAATAGGGATTGGTCACTTTTAATTGGCTTTGGAGCACAGAGTGCATTCAGTGTTTCTTTTTCCATCTGGATTCTGAAACTTTTGTGGTCCTTTCTTTCCAGATAGGTTGTGCTTTGTTCTCGCTTGTTTTGCAGAATTGATAATTTTCTGACAGGTAGGACTATGGATTTAATTTTCATTTCTCTGACTTCCTTTTGGTCATCCTCTGGCTGAGGCTATAGGACAGATGATTTTGAACGGTGATCCAGATCTACACTGCTGTTTGAGTTATCTTTTGTCATATTGGCAGTAATTTTGATTTAAACAAGTCCTAGTCTTTCGTGTTGCTTCTATTGCATAATTGTTCTTTGCATCATTTGAGGAGACAGCAGCTGCATGGCAGCATTTAAGGGAGTTTTCACACATTTGAACATAGCACAGTTTGCAATCTACTTCTAAGAGTGATTGATATGATTTGTTTATGCCTAAGTCATAGGCACTGGGAGAGGAGGAAATACTTCGCCTGGGATATTGTTGTTTGCATTTAACACTTGAAGACTTGACTTCAACTCAAGGAATTTTTTTTAAGTGGATCTAACTTTGTTAAGTTTGTGCCTTGACCAGGTTGCTACCTTAAAAGGAAAGAGGGAGTTGGGCTTTTTTTTTTTACTGTTTTCCTCTGACATTCTTTTAAACCTGATTTACATTTCACAGGGTCAGGAAGCAATGCCAAGTGGCAAGACAGTATTAGAAATTCTATTTTGGGAGTGGGGTGAGGTTGGTGGGAAGTATCAAGGAGGCTTGGATGCCATTCTAATAAGTTTAGATATTCTCAGGGCAATCTCAGGGCCAGTGAAGGTTTTTAAATCCCATTATAAAAAGCAGTTCTTTTAGGGGCTGTGGATTTAAAAGTTGTGTTAATTTTCTATGGCTGCTGTAATAAATTACCACGAGCACCTTAAATCAATAAAATGTATTACCTTAAATCAATACAAATTTATTATCTTACAGTACTAGTAGTAGGTCAGAAACTTGACAGATTTCACTGGGTTAAAATCAAGTTGTCAAGGATTGTAGGACTAAGGTCCCCATTTCTTTGCTAATTGGTGGCTGAGGGTCATTTCCAGTTTCTAGAGACCGCTCATGTTCCTTGCCTTGTAGCTCCCTTTTTCCATCTTCAAAGCCTGCAGTGGTGGGTAGGTCCGTCTCATGCTTTGAATCTCTGCTGCCTCTTCTGTTGTCACGTCTCTCTGGCCAAATATTCTGCCTTCCTCTTCCACTTTTAAGGGCCCATGTGATTACACTGGTCCCACCCAGATAATCCAGGATAATCTCAACGGCCATAAGCATAATCACATCTGCAAAGCTGCATTTTCCATGTAAAGTAATATATTCATGGGTTCTGAAGATTAGGGTGTGGACATTTTTGGGGGGCATTATTCTGCCTAACACAGACGTCATTAAAGGATAGATTGTATTTTAAACCTTGGGAATAGAAAATATTACTCGAGGATAGTGTGGGGTTGTTTCCTGAATCTTCATCTGCTGAGACATTACTTTAACCTTCCTTGTCCTATACGACCAAATCTCTTGGGTATCCTGAATTCCTGTATCACTTCCAGATGTGGGATACCTGGAAAGATGTTTTACCAAGTTCTCAACCAGAGGACTGGTACTTGCTTTCTTGACCTTGATAATCCCATGGTCTGAGGCCAAACCCAATTTCTGCCCTTCTTTCACCTCCTCTCAGCTATCTCTACCTCTTAAGCTCTGCTGCTGCCCTGATACTGTGCTCTCCTTGGATCTAAATGACTTCTTCATCTTGCTCTGGAGCTGCCAGGCCTCCCTTTGGACTTGATTTGTGATTGTTGTCACTGTCCTGACATTTCTTTTCAACCTCCTACCCATCCACTAGCTCTCTCCCTTCAGCGTGCTGCATTTTTTGGAGAGTTTATTTCAGTACCCAAGATCTGAGACACAATTGAGAGCTTCAAGCCCTTTGAATGTTAAGAGAGGTAGCAGGAAAACAGAAGCCAGCATCTGTTGTGATGCTATGGACTTGCCTATAATTTCGAGGCTAAGAGCACAGGGCTGAAAATCTGACATTTTGGGGTTCCATTTCAGGTTCTGATATTTACCAGCTATAATAACGTTAAGTAACCTATATTAGTCTCAGTTTTCTTATTTGTAAAGTAGGAATAAACGATAACCTCAAAGGCTTGTTATAAGCTTTAAATGAGATAATGGATATAACCCAGTACAGTGTAGAAAGTGCTTATTTCATGTTTTGTTCTTGGTTCTTCAGATCATTATAGGATATGGACAGAGACACAAATAAGAAAACATAGGATACTGGTGTGATACATCCAGATATTTCTATTTGGACGTTTTATTTTGAATTTGGGGAAAGTTGTGGTTAGTATTGTCAATGGCAGAGCCACTGGGATGCAGAGGGAGTAGTATGGTCTTATTTGTCTTTAGTGACGTTCTCAATCCAGGTGATATATTTCTGAACATTGGTGTAGATACCCACATCCCCTCCCATGAAGTGTCCGACCTCGATCCCCTGTAGCTTGCCTTTGCAGATGACAGTAGCAACGGCCACCTCCTACAAGAGAGAGGGAGAGAGAAAGATATGGTCAGATCTTCTCCCTATAGGAGCCCTCTCGTCCGCAACGTGGATGCGCCCTGTCTAGAGGTAGCATGCTGCATCAAGAAAAGAGCACTGAATTGGGAGACTGGAAGCTTGAGTCATTTATCTAGCTTTGTCGTAACTAATCTTGTGTGACATTGAGAAAGTCAGAGAAAAATCTTTCTAGAACTCACATGTAAAATGAGTCAAACTCCATTTGTTTGAACTGGTGAAGCCAGTTTCAATTTGTGAAAAGTTTGGATTAATTTTTTAAAGGCAATGCCCATTTCAAAGTTGCATCTATGAGAATAAAAACCTAGCAAAGTGTTATTAACTCTAGGTACTGCGTGATGCCCTTTAATGAATACAGACATCTCTAAGGAGGGCCCTTTACTGAAGGTAATGGGGGGCTTTGCTGCAGCCTTATCAAATTTTCAAAAAATTATGAAGCTGTGGGCTTTCAAGTTTTTAAATATCACGATTAAATAGTTAACTGGACATATATAATACAAGTAAGTGAAAGTTGAATAGAGAGAAAAGATTACCCCAAAAATTCGACTGAACACTTTCACAAATTTAACACATATGGAATTTCTGTGGCTTTTTCCTTGTTCGGTTTTCTGGCAGTCTGCATCAGACATCATGGGGGCCTCCAGGTTCTGCCTTAAATCAGGGTGTCTGCCTGAGGGAAGACAGGGATAAAAGAAACCTTCCTGTTCACAATTGTTGTTTTTTTTTCCCACAATTGTTATTTAGCGCTCCAATTATCACCTTCTATTTCAACTGGTGTTTTGTGTGTGTCTGAAGAAAATAATGAGACAAAGGGAAGACATGATTTTGTGCATGGTTAGGAGAGTTAATCTTGAGGATTTTGAAATAGCCTTTATGTCCCTTTAAAAAGCAGAGTTTTCTTTCTTCTCTGTGTCTGTTCTTGGCGGCATAAGAGGTGACCTGACTCAGGTTCTCAGGTGTCCTCCACGCGTTAAGTGAGCCGGTGTGGGAGAGCAGAGCACAGACTCTTCAGCGAGAGTTGTGCCTCTGATGATCAGGAATGGCGTGGCCTCTGTGCAGTCAGGTGGCCCGGTGGCCCCCTCTGCCAAAGCTCTGAGGAAGCAGTGGAGCATTAGTCACCCTGGGAAGGGAGGAACTGTGGGCTTCTGGGAGGGCCTCTTTGTCAGGCCGCTCATATAGTGTCTCCCGTTGGTCCCCATCCGTTCTCCCCTCTCAGCTGTACAGACGTGGGTGCTCCTCTTCGGGGATAACCGATGGCCCTGGTTTTCTGTGGGGAGTGTACTCACCACTGTTGTCTTGGCTCCAGTCCAAGCCTGAAAGCACACAGACTGTGCCTGGCTTGACGGTGCTGGTGGCGAGGGGAATGGGCTGGACTTTGTGGTTGAGGATCGCGGGCTTAGCCAGCCTAATGAGCATGAGGTCGTCCTGGGGGGAACTATGACTGTAGTTCCAGTAACGGACAATCTGGATAGGGTCAATTATCTGCTCTGTCCCATCTCTGATTCTGATCCTGAGATTTCCCAGCATCACTTTCAGGTTTCTGGAGGGGTAAAGGGTTGGAAGTAATCATCATCATCATCGTCATCATCATCTAAGCTGATGTTGAATGTTATAGTGTGCCAGATACTTTGCCAAGGGCTTTATCCGGATTCTGGATTATGTCATTTACCACTCACAACAAATCTGTGAGGTGGATTCTATTTTGAATCCCCATTTTACAGATGAAGTAACGGAGGCACGTAAGAGTATTCACCCATGTCACACAGTTGAGTGGTGGAGCCTTTAACCACTATGTTTTGTTATGTAGTGTCCTTAATGTAGTGGAGAAGAAAAGGATGCATGGCATAGAAATATTATTTTCCTTCCTTTTCAGCTCCAGCCTATCAGATTGGGCATTTCCATTCTGGTGGAGGTAAGAGAATGAGGTGACTTGAGTGTTGGGTATCTCCTGTTTGCTTCATCAGATCTACTCACAACTCTTTCATCCTGCTCTTTGGAAGGTGATATATGTGGATTAAGTCAGTGGGCTTTCTGGTCCTCTAGCGTTTGATTGGTATTTGGCCAATAAGAAGCACCGGAAAGTAAGGGGAGGGAAAAGGGAGAGTTTGGAGTATTTATCCTCCCATCTTTCTTCCTGTAAGGTTGCCACAGGACGTGGCTGTTGGCTGTCTCTCGACCAATGGTTACAGCCCCTATCAGGCAGTCCCTGTGCACAGCGCTCTCTCTGTCTCTCTCTCTGTCTCTCTCTCTCTTTCTTTCCCCCTCTCCCCTTGTAAACATTCTCTCCCCTGCCGCTTTAGGTCTAGGGGTAGTAACTGCACCTTTCTAATACTAAACGCGGAGGGACTGAACTATTCCCTGTGTTTTCCCTATAACGAGACCATATCTTTGTCATTAGTTCTTTTTATGAACTCTCCTCAACTTAATCAAATTTGAGTGTACCATCAGTTACCTGCTGGTCCCTTAACTGACAAAACACATTCCTATTGCCAGTAAAAAACTTGAAAAACCAACGGGAGACTGAGGAGGCATAGTACGTAGAACGGGACTCCTCAAGAGCAGCACTGCTGACGTTTGGGGCTGGGTACTGCTCTGCGGTGGGGCTGCTCTGTGCGCGGTAGGGTGTTTAGCCGCATCCCTGCCCTGGCCTCTGTTCGCTGGGTAGGCGCCCTTAGCACAGCTTCCCCGCATCCCTCATCCCATTGTGACAGCCAAAGATGTCTGCCTTTGCCAAATGTAAATACCCTGGAGGGGAAGCTGCCTCTACTTGAGAACCACCGGCGCAGAATGAGTAGTAGGTGTTGTGTGGGTAAGGATGCCCAGCACTCACGGTAGGTAGCAGTGAGCAGGGGCCAGCACCCAGTTGCTTTTGATGAGGACACCCACACAGGGGTTGAAGTGAGACTTGAGGTATACCAAATAGGGGGCATGGTCTTCTTTCTGCACAGATGAGTGAGCGGGGAAAAATGTCCCTGAGAAACATATATAAGATGTTCTTAGAACGAATAAGACAATCAACAACTTCCTAGTTGAATAGAAATATGGATGATTTTAAAGAAGTAATCAGTTGGCCAGGAAATGTGGAAATGTTTGACATTTTTTTTGAATAAAAATGTAAATCAAAATGGCACGTGTTTCATCTAATATTTATACTAATCATTTTTGTTTAATATTGGTAATATTCAGTCTAAGAAAGTACAATGAGAGAGACTCATTTGCTGCTTATAGGAATGGGAATTTATTCTATTTTCTTGAACAGCAATTTAGAAATGGGCATCAAGAATTGTAAATGGTTCGTCAACTTTGACCTAATATTTCCAAAGCCAAGAATTCTTGATTCTAAAGAAATAATCAGATGTAGACAAAGATTATTAATAAATATGCTCATTTTAACACTATTTATAATAGCTAAATGGTTGAAATATGAGTGTCCAATGCAGTAATGTTGGACATTGAAATACAAAAGTATATGAACAAATGGGACATCATATATACTAAAATTGTATTTGTAAAGAATATTAAACAGCAAAGGAAATATTGATAACCTTTAAGTTAAAAAATAAAAATGTACATTAATCCAGTAATCTAATTGTCTAAAAACAAGTAAAGAAACAAAAATAAACCATTAAAAATAAAGCCTGGTAGTAAATTCAGACAATGCATTAGCATGTGTTGACTGAGGTGGGATTATGAATGATGTTTAGTGTTTCTACTTTTTAATATTTCCAAATTTTCTAGTATGAACATGCAGTGCTTTTATAAATGAATTATATTATTAAAAAAAACTAGAGAATGAAGAGGAGGAAGGCTGATTCTAGTATCAGAGATATTGTTCTTGTCTCAGCTGCCCTTGGTTCTTATGTTAATCCTCCCCAAGCCCAGTCCTGTACTTCACCACACCCTTCTCTGTGTGGTCACACAGTTAGAAACCCCAAGGGAAAAATGGTGGAGTATTATTAAGGACAAGAGACATTGAGCTCTTGTTCTAAGTGCTTAACATGGATTTATTTAATCTTCACAATGACTCTATAGTGTAGGTAGTAATATCCCCATTTTGGCTGTAGAAACTGAAGCACAGATAGATTAACTAACTTGTCCAAGCTCACACAGCTGATTTGTGATGCAACCTAGGCAAGTCAGGGTGTGGTAGGAGAGGCCTCACCAGCAAATTCTGCCATCAGAAGAATTTCATGGTACTCAGGAAGTGTAGGACATAGGGCCCTAGCATTTGATCTTTTGCTCCCACATTCTCCATTCCCTGCATTCTGAGTCTCAAAGCTTTTGGAAAAGGGGGCATATCAGATGTCAAAATGAGTACTCTGTCCTTGTGACTACATTAGGCTTGCCCACTGTGTGATGAAGCCCACATTTTGGAATAACCAGGGTGGAACACTCACTGTTGAGCATTCTCTGAGGCAGGTGTACACCATAACCTACCCCATAGCTTAGCACTGGAGGCTCAGCCTGTCCCGAGAGCCTTTGGAGTCTGAGAGGGGAGACCCCTAATTATGCTTCTGACAGTTTTTCTTGACTCTTCTTTTGCACCTTCCACACGTCCTGCCTCTGCCTCACTCCATCCTGTATTAACCCGTGCCTCATAGGACAGAGTAGAAAGTCATGGATACATACCAGCAAGGACACTCAAACAGAAGATAAATTTCATAGCCGTCTAGATCTTTCCTTGTGAGGTGCGGAAGACCAGCAGAAAATGGAGCTCTCAGCTCTGTATTTTCCTCAGGAACACCTAGGAGAGTCAGTGGGTATGGTTAGGCATGGGGGCACACAGTGGGATTGAAAAGCATGGGGGCATAAAGAGGAAGGAGGAAGAGGGCTGCAGATAGGCAGATGGAGGCCCTTCTGCTCCAGGGAAGGTGGGGGACTGTGCCTCTATTGGGGTCTCTTAGGGAAGGACAAGGAAGCCTAGTTCCTAGACTTCTGGATCCAGGTCCCTCGATTTGCTGTCCCTAAAAGCCCATCTGCCTAAAAGTAGTTAAACTGTCTGTGGGAAAGGGAGCTGCAGGCTTAGGACTTATCTCCCCATGGAGTTTTTCAGGCCAGGGCTGTGGGGGACAGGATTCTCCACCTTATTTCACGAAGACAGTGTAGCGTGCTCAGGTTTGCTCTGAACTCCCTAACAGTTACTTATACTTTCTTTCAGCCCCTCCCATCTTTATTACACTAACTTCATCTTTCCCAGTGGTCACTATTTCATCACTCAGCCATCATCACCAGCTTGGTCTGGCTGTTGTGATCAGCAGCTTTGAGCTATGGAAATGTGGAAATGGAAAGCATTCATTGAGCGGTTGTTTTGACAGTTGGAGAATGCCTTACATTCTAGATTACATTAGATCTAGGATCTACTGAATGGTTGGTGGCGATTCAGAAGACAGTACCTCTAAGTGTTTTTTACCTAATGAAAAGATTTCTCAGCCAATAACAGGCTGCCACCGTCATCCCTGGCTAGTTGGGAACACAAAGAGCAGTGATGCTAATAGTTAACATTCATTGAGCACTTACTGCATCCCAGGCACTGAGCTAAGTTCTTTACAGACATTGTTAGTGGTGATTTTATATCAGGATAGTATGAGATGTAAAATTAATTATGCTTTGTATCATTCTAGCCCCTGAAAGTTTCCTAAACTCATAATCTCATTCCAGTGTCACAGCAACCCTGGAAAGACAAGACAGGGGTGGGGCTGGTATTATTATTTCTTTTTTCCTGACCTGTAGGTGACAAACCCGAAACAGTGAATTTAAATGATTTTCTCAAATCACACATGGCTGGAAAGACTAGAAGTACAATCTACATCTTACTACTGGATACCCACCACTTTTCAACCACATCCTCCAGGCTTCAGCTCATTAACCAGCATTAATGGGTCTGGGAAAGCTATACAGTCCCTCACACAAATTCCCTGAAGTGTGGAATGAGAAATTAACATGACGCATACTTTCTTGAACCTCACAATGAACACAGAGCTACATTGGGAGTAGGGCTGGTTTATGAAATATATTTGATGTTTCTAGACAGGATGGAGATATGGAAGGTTTTCTCTGGTGGGGGTGGGATTAGTTAAAACAGGTAAAAATTTGGGAAAGAGATATACTTTACTTTCAGGTTGTTATCCTAGATCTTTTGGAAAGATTCTGGACCAGGAAGGGAGTTTGAGGCTTGTTCGAGGATGTGAGGACTAAGAGCAGAAAAGCAGATTTTCTGGAGGCCTTGGCACTGGGGACGCTGCTACCTGTTGGTGAGCTTCACATTGGTATCTCTAGCCCAGAGTTCTGGTCCCACATATACAACTGCCTCCTGGAAACCATTGTTTGTGTCTCCTCTCAGCTCCTGAAATTTAGCATGTCAAAATTAAACTCCTTATTCCTCCAGCCTTTCAAATTCATTCTGCTACTTGTTTTCCTTATTTTAGAAGACAATTCTACCTTCCACTTAAAAAAAATTTTTCTGATCACTCAATCCCAAAGTCCATCCTACTTCCCGAAGTCTCTTAAAGCCATCCATATCTTTCCATTCTCACTGCTGTCACCCCGATCCAGGCCATAATCTTGTCTCACTTGAACTAATGCATGTGCCTCTCTACTGTTGCTCAACTTGCCATTCTTTTACTCAGATTTTGTTTCTAAGGATTTTGTTTACACCAAGGATCAATACTGGAAGGAGAAGTCTCTAAATGACAGACTTGTAGAATCCTCATCCCCAGTTCTCTCACCTGCACTTTCTCCTGCTGTTCAGAATCCCCAAGCAGGATATACCTTCTATCCCTGCTTTGTGCCTGTTAGTTTCCACTACAGCCTTATCCTCAGGACAAGATTCAGGCATCAGCATGAAGTGTATCCTATTAACCTTGCTGATGATAACTGGTGAGTGACTGAAGGTATCTCATGCTTGATTGGGGCTCTACTAGGAGATGAGGCTGTGGAGCTTTGTTGGAGAGGGAGAGCTGATGGATTAGGAATAGGAAAGTTTGGGAAATAGGTAATATACTAGTCATTTTCTGTACAGGCTCAGTCATTTGTAGAACCTAACTAAAACTTTTTTTTTAATTTAATTTTTATTTTTGGCTGCATTGGGTCTTTGTTGCTGTGCACGGGCTTTCTCTAGTGGTGAGCAGGGGCTACTCTTCGTTGTGGTGTGCGGGCTTCTCATTGCGGTGGCTTCTCTTGTTGCGGAGCACAGGCTCTAGGCATGCGGGCTTCAGTAGTTGTGGCATGCAGGCTCAGTAGCTGTGGCTCGTGGTCTCTAGAGCTCAGGCTCAGTAATATGGCGCACGGGCTTAGTTGCTCCGCTGCATGAGGGATCTTCCTGGACCAGGGCTCAAACCTGAGTCCCCTGCATTGGCAGGTGGATTCCTGCGCTGCTGCGCCACCAGGGAAGTCCTAAAACTTTTATTATGGGCTTAAAACCTCATCTGAATGTCTGATAAATTTTCAATAAGCTTCTCTCCATAATTAGTAGACCTTGCTGGAATTTTGATAGGAATTTCATTAAACCTATCGATCAGTCTGGGGACAATTGCTGCCTTTACTATGTTTAGTTTTCCAGTCCATGAACACAGCATGTTATTCCTTTTATTTAGTTCTTTGATTTCTTTCTTCAACATTTAAAATTTTTCAGCATAAAGATTCTGTACATATTTTGTTAACTATATGCCTAATTATTTCATTTTCTTTGGAGTGCTTGTAAATCATATTGCATTTTTAATTTTAGGTTTCATATGTTCATTGTTAGTATATAGAAGTGCGGCTGATTTTTATGTGTTGATTTTGTATTCCCTGACCTTGCTGAACTCATGTATTCTAGGAGTTTTTTGTAGATTCCTTGGGATTTTCTCTGTAGACAATCATGTCGTCTACAGGAAGGGACAATTATATTTCTTCCTTTGCAATTGGATTTAATTTTCTGATATTTGTTAAGGATTTTTGTATCTTCTTCATGACAGACATTCAAACAGGTGTGAGATGATATCTCATTGTGGTTTTGATTTGCATTTCCCAGTGATTAGTGATGTTGAGTATCTTGTCATGTACCTGTTGGCCATTTAGATGTCTTCTTTGGAAAAAAAAGTCTATTTAGTTCCTCTGCTCATTTTTAAATTGTTTTTTTGTTGTTGTTGTTTTTGAGTTGTATGAGTCCTCTATATGTTTTGAATATTAACCCTTTATCTCTTTATATAGTCTGCAAATATTTTCTCCCATTCTGTAGGTTACAATTTCATTTTGTTGATTGTTTCTTTTGCTGTACAGAAGCTTTTTAGTTTGATGTAGCCTCACTTGTTGATTTTTGCTTTTGTTGCTTGTGCTGTTAGTGTCATGTCAAAAAAGTCGTTGCCAAGACCCATGTCAAGGAGTTTCCTCTCTATGTTTCCTTCAAGGAGTTTTATGGTATCCCATTTACAGTAGCATCAAAAACAATAAAATACTTAGGAATAAATTTAACCAAGGAAGTGAAAGATATGTACAATGAAAACTATAAGACTTTGAAGAAAGAAATTAAAGGAGACATAAACAAATTGAGATATCCCATGTTCATGGGTTGGAACAATGAATATTGTTAAAATTTCCATACTATCCAAAGCCATCTATAGATTTAATGCAATCCCTATCAAAATTCCAATGACTTTTTTTACAGAAATAGAAAAGAAATCCTAAAATTTGTATGGAATCACAAAAGACCTTAAATAGCTAAAGCAATCCTGAGAACAAAGCCAGAAGCATCACACTTCCTGATTTCAAACTATACTGCAAAGCTATAATAATTAAAACATTGTGGTATTGGTATACAAATAGAAACATAGAACAGTGAAACAGAATAGTGAGCCCGGAAATAATCCCCTGTATGTACACTCAGTTGACACTTGACAAGAGAGCCAAGGACACTCAATGAAGAAAGGATAGTTTCTTCAACAAATGGTATTGGGAAAACTGGATAACCACACGCAAAAAAATGAAATGGGAAACGCTGTCTTACACCACTCACAAAAAGTAACTCAGAATGAATTAAATGCTTAAACCATGGGATTCCTAGAAGAAAACATAGGGAAGAAGCTCCTAATGGATTTTCAAATGTTGAATCAGTCTTGCATACCTAGCAGAAATCCCACTTGGTCTTAGTGTATGTATAATGTTTTTTATACATTGTTGGATTTGATTTGCTAATGTTTTGTTGAGGATTTTTGCATCTATGATCATGAGGGATTTTTTTTTGTAGTTTTCTTGTAATGACTTTGTTTTTGTTATTAGGATAATGCTGGCCTAATAGAATGATTTCGGAAATATTCCCTCTGCTTCTGTCTTCTGAAAGAGGTTGCAGAGAATTGGTATAATTTCTTACTTAAATGTTTGGTAGAATTCATGACTGACCTCATCTGGGCCCAGTGTTTTTCTGTTTTGGAAGGTTATTGTTTAATCGATGTCTCTAATAGATATAAGCATATTTAGATTGTCTATTTCTTCTTGTTTGAGTTTTGGCAGATTATGTTTTTCACAGAATTCATCTAGGTTTTCATGTTTGCAGGCATAGAGTTGTTTATAGTATTCCTTTATGGTCCTTTTACTGTCCATGGGGTCGGTAGTGATATCTCCTCTTTCACTTCTAATATTAGTAATTTGTGTCCTCTCTTATTCTTGGTTATATTGGCTAAGGCTTATTGATTTTTCTGATCTTTTCAAAGAACCAGTTTTTGGTTTTGTTGATTTTCTCTATTTCTTATTTTCATTTTCTTTGATTTC